CTCCTTTTTTCTTCCTTTTTTCCCTTGGTGTTGGGGGTATTGGATCCGAAAAAATTCCCAATTACTTGATCCTAGTTAATGCAATTTGCTTTATGTTATGACTTGGGAAATTTTTTAAGTTTTGCCTGTCCATTGCCATTTTGGTACTGTAACTTCTTGTCAAATGGCAATATCATATTGATGATGAGACTGTATTGAACAGATGTAAGCAGTTGAAGAGATGATGCTTGTTACATTACTGTAGAGGTTGATATAGGCACACCTTGCTTTATGTTCTGATTTAAGAGATTTTTCAAGTTTTACCTATCCACTGCTGTTTCAGTTCTGCAACTTGTCCAATGTTACTATCATACAATCATGAGTCTGTATTGAACAGAAGTAGAGCTGTTGAAGAGTTGATGGTTGATGCATTATAGTAGAGATTAATAAAGGCACAATTTCCATGTAGAAAAGTAGTTGAGAATTGATAGTGTAGCAGAAACAAAATCATTAGTTTAAGGTTACATGCACAACAGTCTTTTGTCTCTGAATTGCAATTTCATTCAACTTTCAAGGAGAGTGGCCATATGATATGCTCATGACCAATCTTTGATGTGGGGAAATTTCTTCCATTTTCTTGGCATGATAATATTTATGGCATTATTTCATTAATAGTTCAGATTTTTAGGTTTTGAGGAGTTTAATAAGAAGCCAAGATGTTTGGTAAATCAAGCATGACTTTTAATTTGATCGAGGTGGAATTTTGACAGAAAATTTTGAAGGTGTTTAATAATGATTGAAGATCAGGAAGGCCTTCAAATAAAGCTTGGAAGTTACTACATGAGATTGTCTTTATTTATCTAATTGTATTTGAATTCTTTTTCCTATTTAGATTAGGACTTTTAATTTATTTAGTACTTTACCATTTATGAATCCTAATGCTAGATGATTAAGTTTGTTTTAATCAGGAATCCTTTTCCATGAAGGATTTTGAGACTAATTTAAATAGGGGTGTTTAGTTTATTTTGAGAAGAAGATTATTATTAAAACTTTTAATAAAACACCAGAGAATTTCCTCTAAATTTCTCTACAGTTTAGGTATTTAATCTTAGGGCTTGAGAACTCTAGCTTTTTAACCATGCTATACCCCACCTCAATCTTGAGGTCAAGTGGCCTTTGAGGGGCAGGAGAGAGAATACAGCAGGAAAACAGCAGAACTGTGGTTCAAGATTTTCATAGCTAAGTGTTGGTTTCAATATCTGCGAGTTGCTTGTCATGAATTCCAAATCTTGTGTCCTAGAACCCAAGCCCTAAGCTAGAATATTGTAGTATTAAGGCTCTCTGCCCCAGTTTCAAGTTGTGATTCATACATGCTAATTTCATTTGTTTCTGCATTTTTTTAAACAAAATATGAAGATGTTATTTCCTATATTATGTTGTCTGGAATGTTTGGGGATGCTTATCTGTCTAACTCTCTCAATCACATACACAGCTGAGGATAAGGACTGATACATGCTAAATAAAGTATATTTATAAATATTCTGTTCCTTTTAGAACATTGTGACATTGGGTGTCACTAGATAAAAAATGAGGCATACTTCAATCTCATCACACTTATATTCTTTCTTAATCATGCAGCACTCTATATCATTAATTAATGGGGATCGTATTGCAACTAACCCTACCACATAAATTTTTTCCTTCAAACTTGGTGTGATTTGCTAACAATAAACATATTGTTGTACTGTTGCATTTCATTGAAGAAACTTACTATTAAATGATGTTTACTAGCAGATAGACATGACATCATTAAATTGACCTCTCTGGTGATGTATTTAGAGAGGAGATGTCATTAAATTTTGTACATTTCATGCTAATTATATGATTTAGTTTATATGTCATTTTCTGATTAAACGGATGCTGCTACCACCAATCATCATCACCTGTACCTTTAGCTGTGTCACTGCATTGGCTAGAATTAATTAATAGTGCAATTACTTTTTTGAATACAGGCTCAATTAGTGGTTTTTGTTGATGTCTTCTCTTTTGTTGATACCAGTAATGAAATTGACAAAGTGAGACTCTAAACGTTCTTGCTTTTGCAAGAGTACCACTGGACTACAGACCCACTGGTGTTAATGTCTTTCCTGTACTCTAAGTCTCATCTGAAAGTGATAGTAGACAATCTTTGATGGGTTGTGCATAAGTTGTTGATCTTTGGTTGGTTTACATAAGAGTTTATTGATTTAGAATGAATTCTTGCAGGATGGCTTTCAAGACGATTCCTTGAGGATAATGAAGGACATTCAAAGATTCAATTCTCATTGCCAGGTTTGTCATGCAATTTACATATCTTTTACTGAGGGTGGGGAAGATAGAGGAAATAAGATCCAAAAGTTCTTTACCTTTTATCATCTCAGATTTCAAAGTTGATGTCTCGAATTCTAACAACCAAAATACAAATACATAGTTGCTCAATAATATACACAACGAGAGAGAAAGAGCAACAAAAATTACAGTTATTATTGAATAACATGTATACAGATTAAAAAAAATAAAAATGAAAGAACAACTTCACTGATCATTCCATACCTGCATGCTATCCATAATGTGCAGAAGATTTGTATGCATCAAATGATTAGTTTGTTGGGATCAGATCAAGGACTTTGTTGCATTTCTAAATTTGGAGACCAGTGGTTTACTTCTTTCTATTTCCAATCTGGTTCCAGGTTCTTCTGTTCTCTGCCACTTTTGATGAGACCGTTAAGAACTTTGTGTCAAAGGTTGTGAAAGATTACAACCAACTTTTTGTAAAGAAAGAAGATCTGTCATTGGAATCATTGAAGCAGTATAAGGTGACACTTCCTGATGAACTTGCCAAGATTGGAGTAGTAAAAGATAGGATTCTTGAGTTGGGAGAGAACATAGGCCAGATCATTATATTTGTCAATACAAAGCGCAGCGCCAGCATGCTGCACACTTCCCTTGTGGATTTAGGCTATGAAGTCACTACCATTCATGGCGCACTTAATCTTGAAGACCGAGACAAAATAGTCAAAGAATTCAAGGATGGATTGACTCAAGTTCTCATATCAACTGATGTTCTCGCCCGAGGTTTTGACCAACAACAGGTGCCTCTTTAATTTTCCCAAAATCCTCCTTACTGGTGTTCATTGATAAATATGTACTGATTATGAAACTTATCCTGCCCTCTTCCTGTTGCAGGTTAATTTGGTAATCAATTATGATCTTCCAGTGAAGTATGAAGATCAATCAGAGCCTCATTATGAGGTCTACTTGCACAGGATTGGTAGGGCTGGGCGTTTTGGCCGCAAAGGTAAACTTTGGTTCTTCCTTTTTCTCTGTCAGATGCACTTCTATAATGGTTCTCTAGAAAAAAAATATGATTGGGGTTCTATAATACTACAACTATGAAAGAAGCAATTATTGATTTTGAGTGGTTTTATGTAATCCTGCAGGGGCTGTGTTTAATTTCTTAATGACTGACCATGATTTGATGATCATGAGGAAGATAGAGAGCTACTTCAATAGTCCAGTTGCTGAGGTAAAAACCCTAGTGGCTTTTTTAGGTTTAATAAAATAGTTCATTCTCCAATTAATTCTCTGTTTGAAAGTTTTTTAGATTTGCTCTCTTTTTATTTATGCTCGAGTGGTAAGATGGTGTTCAACTGCTAGATATCGGTGGATGCTATAGAGTATATATTGATCTATCACACAATTTTTTTTTGTCAGCTATTGTAAAAGTATTAATTTGAATTTTATTATTTGATTGCTTAATTTATGTTAATCTCTGATGCAGATACCATCATGGGGCAGCGAAGAGGGCTTCAAGGTTGCTCTCAAGGAAGCTGGTTTGCTGTGACAATGAGCCGTATGTTGTGTGAGTTACAAACGAAATGAGCCACAGCATCCACCGAGAGGTCTTTTTAAGTGAAATCCCATGCGGCGGGGGTGTTGGTTAGCCTTGACTTCAGTGTGTTGATCTTTTACCCGGTATTTGTTACTGAGATGGTTTTTTTTTTCCCATGCGTCTTTGTAAACAACCATTACATTTTCAATGGCCTACATACATTTCATATTTGTGATTATACTTGTTCATGGTCTGGGTTTTTTAGAGGTAATCATCCCCCACTACATATCTATAACTAGAGAACTATAATCATTAGTACCGAACCTTACTTTATGAAATTAAAACTACTTAACATACAGTTATTAAAATATAGTTCTCAAAACTAAAATAAGAACATTAACATAAATATCTTTTTTATGATAAATTTTTGGATTAAGATCATATTATAAAATCCCTAGTATCTAAAAACTTCATAAAATCAAGTGTCACTCTAATTTTATCTAGTCAATTTCGCAAACTCGTAATTGTCGCACAAAGTATGCTTCAAGTAGTGACTTGGAATAAACCGTCATGTCATATAAGACAATCAACAAGGTAATTTTACCAATTTTCTTAACTAATTTAAGATAGAACTTCATACTTGGGGCCTGCATGAAATCATACTTTTTTATCATGTATATGATTACAAATCAGTTTGATTTTTTAATTTGTGTTCAAAACAATACCATTTTAACTTGAAAAGCTATCATTCTGATTTACTTACCTTGATCTTCGGTGTCGGGATAGGTTTCATTGCTATGCATGAAAGACCGTGTTAATGAATAATATTTTTTTAAAAAAAACAGCGTCTTATTTTTCCAGCCACTTTCAAATCTGCCAGGCCCAAAAGAAAGCTCCTCCTTCTCAATTAATCCATGTCTTACATGCATTGCTGCGATCTAAAAGGTCCTGAATTATGAAAACCAATAGCCATCCGGAAGTCGACGACCTTTACAGAGAAGCTGATGATAGCCTCCCCACCAAAAAAAAATAAAAAAAAAAATAACGAGAGAGAGACGAACACCATGCACAAGTAACAGAGTTAGGGATCTTTTTCTCTTTTATATATATATACATATATATTTGGCAGTGAAAAACGCCTAGTTTGATTCCAGCTGGGTTATTTAATTATTTTCTTTCCTATTTACTTCAATGGGACTTCCTCTGGATAGAAACTGTTAATGAATCAAATTTATCTATTATGCGACGATCAAAATGTTACGAAGAAACATGCAGCTTGGTTTTCTTCCATCTCCAAGTGAAATAGCAATGATATTTTAATTTTCTTGCTCAACCCATTAGTTTGACGGAGACGCCTGTCTTCAATTATTTTGTTGGGACTCCATTGCATGTTGGTTGAAGCCAAGTTGTCAACCCTTTTTTTTTTTTTTTAAATTTGGGGTTAGGAAGCTAGAATGCATGCTAAATACTAATATAGAAGAAGATAATGGATTGCACGTCAACGAGTAGTGCCCGTCCACTTCCATTCCGAAACAAATTCTCAAGAACCTCCTATAACTAACTATATATGCACATATATGGCCTTCTTGTAAGCAAGGATTTAGTCTCTTTAATCTATCAGGAGCGAGAGAGAAAACAAAGAAAGATGGCAGCTCCAATTTTGACGCTGATTGCAGCATCTCTTCTGGTGGGATGCACCACTTTAGCCATGGCACGGGAGGAAACTCATGGGGTCATAAATGTTGCTGGGAAAGTAATGTGCCAGGACTGCACCAAGGGTTATTATGACTGGATTAATGGCGACAGGCCCATTAAAGGTACCCCTCTCCCTCTGTATTCCCCTTGTCGCCTCTGTGATGTTTTTACTGGTGAATCCATCAAATCTTACATGTATCATAGCAAGGTTTTTACTTCACGAACACAACTATGACATGCACTTAAGATCATACAGTATAAAATCTCTAATTTTGATGAATTGATGGTTGGTTGCATTGCAGGGAGTAAAGTATGCCTTACATGCACTGATGATAGAGGCAGAATAATACATTACGATAGTGATGTGACAGATGAAAGAGGAGAATTTGACATGATAGTGAGCAAATACATTAATGGGAAGCAACTGAAAGAGAAGAAATGCTCAGTGAGGCTTGTATCATCACCAGATCCTAGTTGTAACATCCTCACCGACTTTGCTGGTGGGAAATCAGGAGTGAAGCTCAGGCGACCCACTTCCGTGTACCGTGACACCGTTAAATACATGCTCACTCCATTTTACTTCACGTCTCCAATGTGTGATGAGCCTGATACTACTGATCAGTACGATGACACCCAAGGAAACAATTACTGATTAATTATGATTTTAATCTCTTTGAATTCATTGTCTATCTTCTCTGTATACGTATGTAATTGGTGCTTTGTTTTCATTTTGATTTTTGTAAGATAGAGATATCCTCCTTGCGTAAGATTTGCAAGGTCCTGTTACTATAAACTTCCACAACGATTGAGAATCATAATCAAGTCAATGCCCTTTTATTAAAATTTCCATTAACTGATTGCAATGTGATCATCTTCTACTGATTCTATAGCTAAACAAAAGAGAGGCAAAATCATCTTGGTGTGTGTTCTTACTATGAAAATAAAATTCACACAATTTTTTACCGCAGAAGGCTTGCTATTGAACTTGGGTTGTCTCTGAAGTAACTATCCAAAGGAGCCCCAACTGGGATTGCTATATATAATGCAGATATCTAATTATATTTGGACAGTGTTATTTTAGCATGCCTGAATATTATAGACTCACCCATTCAATGTCCAATTAGAAAGGTTGCCCACAGCTACAGAATTTGCTTCAAATCTAATGTTCCGACCACCGTTGGTATGGTATGTATGGATGCTCCAATCAACCCAAGAGAAATTACAATACATGTGTACCGATCCAATGATATTTAATAACATGGCAACAATAGTAACCTGGCACACATCGCGACGTGGAAAACATTCAAGCCGCCAAAAAAAAAAAATCTCCTAGGATAATTAAAAAGATAGAAGATTATACTTTAATGTGGTTCTAATGGTACTTTTAATCTATTAGTAGTATGTTTGTTAATAATATTTTTGCACCTATCACAATCTATGATCAAATTAATCAAGCTCTTATTTATAGTGTACATCAGATATGAAATAAATTGTTTCGTTGTGAATCCTTAATAACTTTTGGTGTTAGTAACATCTTTCTAATCACATAGATATATCTCTTATCATTATCATCATAAAATCGTTTTTCATCATCTTCCTTAGATTCACACAACTCAACCTCGTCTTTGAAATTTTTTTACTCATATTATCGTTCAATCACGTTGATTGATTTGTCTCTTAGATTATAATGGTTTATCTTAGTTTGTCAAAGCTCTATAGCCTCTATTAAGTTCATCATCACCAATACTATCTATGTAAACAAGTTTGTTTAGTTTGATTTTCAGGAATAGATATGGGATTAGGTTTGCTTCAAGATAAGCTTCTAAGCACATTCTTCTGTTTTATATGATTTCTATTTACAACACCTTATCATGATTATCATGATTGGTCAATCTATTCAGTTAATTCTTATATAAAATATACCATTGATTAAATTTTTGTTGTAAGGTTCTTTATATTGCCTTTTAAACCCTCATAATGTTCTGGATGATCTTCACTCTTAATTGTGTTGTAAGGTTTTATCGTCAATGTCCATCAATAAAATCAGTCTATTTTGAAAGAAATTGATATGGTGTATATCATGAAAAAAAAATTAGGGTTTGGTTTTCAAGTCCTAAAATTATAACCCTAAACTATAAAAAAAATAGAGAAAAAGACTCAATTTTTGAAAAGTTGGTAATTTGATAATTTTGTTCAATAAAAAAAGTTGTGCATCTCTATTTATATTATTAAAATCCTTATAGGAAAATGATTTTTATTGAAATTTACATAGCTAATAGATTTATAACTAGCAATGAGATTCTTAAATTAAATAGATTCTTATAAATCCCAACAATTAAATAAATAATTGTACCATGAAATTAAAAAAATAGCTCTCCGAGTCATCCTATTCAGTCAGAACATTTGTTGCTGGGCACAATTCGCTGCAGTGCTCATATGCAGCTAGTGGCAATAGTGTATCTCTTTATGCTGTTTCTATATAAAAAAAAATGTCACCCAACATATTCTCTTCTCTGCATGGTTGGTATGCACATGAATTGATCATAGTTGGCAAAATAATGTTAGCAACAAGTTCAAGCGAGAGAGCTTTGATTAGAGCCTCTTTTCTGTTTTCCATGACAAAGTTACACGAGAAGAAGAATTTAAGAGCTGCAAAAATGCAGTCCTACTCCATGAATCAAACTATTTCATGTTCAAAAAAACAAAACCCCTATCTCACTTTCCACATGTAGATTTCCATTGAAATATAATTTTACTTCATCCTCTGCAACCAAATTCCAGCCGAGTTTCACATTCACAAGCACCACTGTGTATGAGAAAATACATTCCCATTAATCACATGTAGTTTCTGCAAGGATTTGACCCTGCGGTTACACTTTTAACCAAGCTAAACACAAGTATTAAGCCTATCCTAGTTAAGTTCCCAGAAGACAAGCATATTCAGAGTGACCAAGTTTTGCAAATAATTGATAATAGGATCCTAAGCAGGTTTTTGTTTTCCAACAGAAAAACAGCGGTAGCCGGCAGGGCAGCATTTTTTCGAACCGTTTCTTTCTATACGTGAGAAAGATAAATGATCCATGACAAAAATTTCATTCATTTATTTCGGATTTGTTTCTTCTCTGCTTCCACCATTGCCATGTATTTCAGCAGAAAACACAAATGCCTGCCCCAAGGCTAGAAGAAGCACGCAGAACCTTCATGGCCAAAATAACTTTCTTTTTGTTAGTTTCCTTTTATTGTTGGTTGAAACTGATAAAATTGAAAGCAGCGAGAACAACCGAGCCACAAATTAATAACAAATACGATATACACGAATTTATTGATAAAATGACCGAAAGGCACACAAAAATGATAAAAGTACATCAGATTATCAATCTTCTACACAAACAAGCAAACATGTGTTTTCGGTATTCTTGTAGTTGTATCAATCATCTACACAAACAAGCAAACAGGTGCTCTCAGTATTCTTGTAGTTGTATGCATTCAAGTACAGGTCAAGCAGTTGGAGATGCTTTTGCTGCAAGATGGATAAGTGCTCGTTTGTGATAGGTGGTACGGAGTTTTTTGTACTTCTGCACAAAAGCCCCAAGATCTATCTCCTTATCAAGGAACTGCCTGTGGAGGGCTTCAGATTCCTCCTCTGTCTTATTCATTGCCTCTGCAGATTAGGAACACAGTCAGATCATGCCTAAGAGCACGCCTTTCATGTCTTATTTTACCAAATGTTTTGAGCTTTCAAATGGATCAACTTTAATTTAAGCTGTACCTTGTAGCATTTGCAGGAGGGAGGCAGGAGAGCAGGACCTCAACAACTCTTCTTTCTGTCTTTCCAGCTCGTTTAGTTTTTCTTTAGCAGCAGCCAGCTCAGTTGTCCGTATTATCCTGCACTGAGCACACAACAAAGGAAAAAAATGGTTTTGAGTTCAATCCATTAGATTTACAAGCAAGGAAGGAAATGACCACACAATTAAAACCTCACTTGGTTTCTAAGCTCCATTATGCGTGGCTCTTTCTCCAAGTTCTCTCCTATATATCAAAAACAGCAATTTGACATTAGTCTATCCATTTATAGCTAAACCACGTTAAATATTTCAAAAAATGTGTCCAGCCACTTACTCGCAAGCTGCAGAGTTTCCTTGCGAAGCTCATCTCTTATCTGATGGAAACACATCATGCAATATTTATGCAATTTTAGTTGTAGTTATGGTGTGGTTCAGAAAGCATGAGAAAGTATCCAATCACATGAAGAAAATGTAAGTCAGGCGATTTCTTCTTATTTGACAAATGCCTGCATGCTTGCTTGGGTATGAGAGCATGTTTGCATGTGCATGTACATCTGAGTTTATGTCGTGCCTGACTTGTTACCATGGACACACAAGTCACTCTTAAATCTGTAATAGGTTGCACACTATGCAGTTTATTCTATAAAAAGACATCAGTGTTATTCCTTGTATCACATTATCATCTTCAGTTTTGATTCTGGAGAAGGGCAAAGAAAGCTAAGTCTATTTGCATCCCCTGCCAGAAGAATAATAATTGACTAAACGAGTAGTGAGTGGCAGGGGATGAAACTAAAACTAAGGACACAAGAAGAGAAATGAAAAGAAGCATAGTTCACCCGGCTTGATTAAATTGGATCACATAAAGATATAGAAAACTGAGATAAATGTCCAATAGGAGGAGGTTCGTTCCTTGTGCAGATACATATTCAGAGTCAATTACAAATGAGGAATACTTTTCAAGGGAAATATGATGTGATTCAAGAGGGAAATTATAAATCATTAATATTTGTTTCTTACCTCCGCTTATCTCCTTGTTCACGTATTCAAACAAAAGAAATTGTTAGAAGTTTCACTCTACTTCTCCTAACTGATAATGATGATAGATGATTCTCAAATCCAAAGGCCTAGTTAAAGACAAAATGATGCTTTGAATTATCATTAATACTGCAAATTCCTTGGAAAATAAGATCTCCAGACACAAACACCAAGATGGGGTTAAGATGGCAATACCAACAGGTAACTAGGCTTTTATGATCCTACCAGTACGAGCTGAGACCAAGAGTGTTTAACCCATACCACTCAGCAAACAAAAAGCAAGAGGTAAATTTTATTGTAAATGCCGATAAAGGGAAAGGGAAGGAAAGAGCTCAACTTACATTATTTTGAATTTTAACCTGGTCAAGTGAGAGTAAAAATTGATGGTATGCATCCTTGTCAGATAATAGCTTCCGTAATTCATCAATACTATCAGACATATTTTCAAAGAAAAGACGTAATTAGAACATGTGCATTGTAACATGATTTTTTCCAAGCTACAGGGGCAATCATCTATTTTGATAGGTAACATTTGAACAAAAAACGCGGACGAAGATCCTCCTCTTTCAAATGTTTAATGAAATTGTTTATTATTTTTATTCATTTTGATTAGATAAAAAACTAGTCGTCTACAAAGGCAACATTTATCAAAGCACCACACCTCAATGTAGTAACATACATCACAAAGCACAAAACAAAAATCATGGGAACAAAAACCCTTATTGATCTTCAAAGAGCCCAGATAAGAAAACAAAAATGCCTTTCTGACTTGATATTAGGTAAAACATATATGCAATCAAGTTCGGAAAAAAAACATATATTAAAGCACATCCAATTCACGGTCAACCTTATGAGCATATCTGGTAGAAAACAAGGTCAGTACCTTGCGGTAATTTGATTCCATACTGAACAAGAAAACATGAGAGTAGGTCACCTTTTGTCCTTCAAAAGAGTGATAAAGGCAGCAGCTTCAGCAGGTGAAGGAGAGAGCGGGCGTTCTGCAGGGCTTTGGAAACTGTGGGAAGTGGAAGAGCTAGCACTAGATGGAGTTGCAGGCCGCGAGGAAGATGGGGAACCAACTATAGATGGAGGGTACCAAGATTGTGCTGGACCTCGAGCAACCTCTTCTGGACGTGGCTGCCCTTGTTGTTCCTGAGAACCCCTGTACGAAAATAATAATAATAAAAAAAATTAATTCAAATAAAATCCCTAGAAATTCAGGTTAATCAACAGATAGATAGATAGATACCAGAACTTGAACATAGCTTCTTTAAGAGAGAGTGAAAATAGAGATCTGGATCGTCTGATTAATTAGTCAATTAAGGTTTAAAGAACTTAAAGTCTTTAAACTCTCTGTCTCGGGTTACAAGAAGATAAAAAAAAACAGGTGATCCTTAGATTTTGGCAACGGTTTGTTTTTTTTTTAATTATTACCGTAAACTTAAAAATGTGGAGAGTTACTTTGTTTGAAAAAGAAAAAAAAAAGGGTAAAATGATAGAAAACACGATATCTAAAGCATCTATTAAAACTCTTTGTTTGATTTAAAACTCTTTGTTTGATTTTGTATTTAATTTTTTTTTAAATAAGTTTTTATTATTTTAAATTAATTTTTGTTAATATTTTTAAATTTTTTAATATAATAATATTAAAAATAATTTTTTAAAAATAAATAAATATTATTTTGATGTATTTTTAAACAAAAAATACTTTTAAAAACAACCACCAATATAATCTCAAACACTCCTTAAATAGTATACTTTTAGAACATGATAACTTAAAATATCATGCTTCATAAGTAAAATCTCAATTAAAATTTAAATAAATCAAACACTAACAAAACATAAAGATGTTATCTCTCTCTCACAAAAAAAATCATCAATGCCTTCGCTTTTCTTTTAAAAACTCATTAATCACTTAAATTTTACCCTTAAAAAAAAATTAAACTCATTTTAATCTCTAAACAACCTTTGATCTTTTTGGGTTGAAAATTCACTGTTCACCTTGTTATTGCCGCTATCACCACCATTCTAGCTCTTAGTCCTATAAGCAAGGTAAATATATTATATTGTGATTAATTTGTATTTGGTTTGGTTGGAATCAAATGATTATTTAAGTTGAATTTAGGATTTATGATGAATTTATGTTTTGTTGATTCAATGATAAATTAGTTAAGAATACAATCAATTAGAGTTTATTTGATATAGTTGAACATAAAAATAAATTGAATTAATTATTTCAATTATTTACGTGTTACATTTAATTTAGATTCAGTTGCCAAATTAGTGATTTTGTGTATGTTGTTGGAATCAATAAATAATATAGTTAAATATGCATATACGTTCATGCAATAAAGAATAAATGCGGTTAAATTATAACAAATTACATGTTTCATTGAATTGTTGATAAGTTGATGAATTTAATATTTTTTTTGAATTATATTAATTTGCTATAAATTTGTGTTTGAATTAATACAATTGAGCATGAAAATATCAATTGATAATATATTATGAATTATGTTTAATTTTTGGTTAAGTTTGCTTTAATGTTAAATTTTGAGAATTTGGTTGAATTTATCATAAAGTTTGCCGATCAACATTAATGTATTGCAATTTAGTTAAAATTTTGCAATTTGAAGAACTAGTAAAATATGGGTTACGGAGTAGAATAAAAAACAAATATGATTTTTGAATAAGAAGACTCTTAATGTATGTTTGGCTCGTAGGTGGTGTGATTTTTTTCATAAATATAAGATCTTTTAACTATAAACCACATCTTTAAAAATTAAAAAAAAAATAGTTTTTACCTAAAAAATACAAGTTACTTCATATCCAAACATACACAAGAGTTGTAGGTTTTAGTAGCATTGTGATACTTCAATAACTATCATACTCAGAATAAGTTGGAGGGAATGTTGCAAGTCTTGGAAAAAGGTTTAGTTGATCATTTCATATAAGTATATCTATAAAGCTCAAAGGTGGAATGCAATAAATTTTAATAACAAGTATAAACACTCTTTATAAATGGTATAGAAAGGTATTTGGTTGAATAGATTATTTGAGACTAAATAACTTATGAAATTGAATTCAATTTTGTATTTAGTTTGAATTCAATTAATAATTTTTATATTTGAAATAAAATATTAAAACGCATAATTGAATCTAATTATAGTATTTGAAATACCTATTAAATTGAATTGACTTTTTCATTTTTCTATTCTTCTAAAGCTATATACTAGCTGTCGCTGGTGCTTTGAGGTAATTTCACATTTTTAACTTTTTATGAGCATTATGGTTCCATTCTATTTAATTAGGATTATTATTGGACTAATGAAGACAACTTGTATAAGCTAAAGAAGTATTTTGTTTTCAAGTAATTCATAGAATATCCTTGCATGATGTCACTGCAGGCTAATCCGATAACTTTTAAGAAATTTTCTTGTCAGACCATTCCCCATAAAAAACAATTCACAAGGTAGAGAGAGAGCTGGAATCAATTGTCTTGTTAATGGTGACTAGAAGAAACTATCCACTTCCACTCATTTACCTCTGTAATACAAATATAATATACTTCGAAAGAAAGTAAACTAGTTCCCAAATTTCGAATGTGAATCATCTTTTTTATTGGTTCTAAAGAAATGATGCAATTTTTTATTAAAAAAACAACAAATTGGAAGCCATTAAATACCTTTAAGAGAAAAAAAGCTAAGGGACAAGTTGAAGAGTTGGACTGAAGAAAAATAAGAATAGCCGAGCTTTACTACACTTGAAGCCTTGAACTTGGTTCCTGGCAGTAGATTATCAGCTGAAGAAGTCATGAGGGTAGCAAGAGCTGACAAGATTGAAATCAACAATGTGATAATGCGAGCAAATTCCTTATCTTGTGTGGTTTCTTGTCTTTCAACAGAGGAAATTCAGTTCAACAAGTTCATTATTTTGCAAAAGTTCTTCAAGAGAGGGGGACTGAACAAGAAATTGAGGTTGTCATATTCGGGAATGGGAAGCAAAGGTCAGCTATTGCATCCCCAAGAGACAACAGTCACTCTAATCCTACTCTTATCACGACAACCCTATAATCAAGTTAGTCGTTTCTTAGATTCCTAAGATTTTTTGAGTTAAATTTTTCAGGTTGGTTGCTGCTTCCTTTTCATGCTATGAAAAAAATATGGACCATCAATGTTGAAAAAGGGGCTGTAACTTTCACTTGTTAGGTGGAGACAATGGCATGTGAGAGAGGTGCAATTATGACACAAAACCACAAATTTTAGCTCGTATATTGAAAGTATGCTTGAGTTATTTGGCTAAGTTTTGCCTATAATTTGGCACCAACTGAGAGAGCAAATGAAAGCTGCAAATGCGAGTCAAACACAAGAGAGAAAGAGAGAGGCTATTGCCTTTGTGGTTGGTAAAAAGTGAATGGTAGGGAGAGAGAGGTGAGGTAATTACAAGAGAGTGGGTATGAAGTTTCTCCTTCTTTACCGTTGTAAATTGTAGTGTTTCTTCTATCCAATAATATTGATTGCTCCATGAACGTAGATAAACTGCTAAATAACATTAAATTTGTTGTGCTTAGCCTCCGGATAAAAATCAACGGTTCTAACAAGAGCTATAAGAGCTTTGGAGTTACCAAAGCTGTGTGTTCCATCAACAAAGTATATCAAGCAACTGTTATTTGCTATTGAATTTTTTATTTAATAGTTTTAATTAGCATGTTAATTATCTTAATAAATTAGAGTTCCTTCTATTTTCTTTCCTTGAACCGGAAATAGTTTTTTGTCTTTCTTTTCCCAGAATTATTACCATCATCTAAAGGTCTCTATTCAATTCGTTGGGCCAAATCTTGTTCATGCATAGTTGGATTCGCAGGAAGCAGAGTAAAAGAGGTTCCTCTTGTTGCATGACCAAGATTCAGCAAAGATAGACGTCCGGGGAGATTAATTCTCATTGAATAATTAATTCAGTTTGCAGCTGCTTCTCTTGAAAAGATCATTTGTATAGGAGCTGTAGCGATTCCAAACTCATCCTGGTGTGCTTATTGTCTTGAGTATTAGCGATAATGGCATTTCATTCATAGCATAATTTAGTATAGACTCCATTCAAGAATTGAAATCAGCAATTAAGCTGTGAGATTTACCCCATAGAAAGTAATTTCAAAACCTTTTCCATATATGTTTATTTTATAAGCTAGGAATCCAATAAATAACCACCAAGAGGCTACAAGGAAGCCATTGGTGAAAGCAAGAACAATAGCACAGCTACGGGTTAACAGCAAAAAAAGAGAGCAACTACAACCTGAAAACAGGAAAAGACAATAACATATCGAACCTTAAGCTATTATCCAGGACACCTCCAATGAAAAAGGCAGAACTCATATTTCTTCGTAACCATTTCAAAGCTCAATATTGGCCTTTTTTGTTTTTGATGGGAGAATCAATAGATTTCTCTAACATTGGTGGACAATTTGTCTTGCCATTATAAACCACTAAAAGTTATTTGGTGATTTAGTAACATTCCCCACCATCTGCAGAGAAACACAAGGCTGTTCGACTGGAACCTGCATGCATTTATGAGATCAATGAATATTATTTGGTAAAAGAACATGCAAGTGTTGGTCATGTGAAGGAGGTGCTTACGAAGTGGCCAGCTCCAAGGATCCAATAGAAAAACAAGTTCTTGTACGAACTTGTAAATCCCTTTGTGGTGGTGGTATCACTTTCGCAATATAAAGGAGAACGATCTAGACTTAAGAAATTCTGCAAACCATCCCACCTGAAATACTCAATATTGTAAGAAGGAAGAGGTTTACTTTTCAAGCTTGTAAGGTTTAACTTGATTCAATTAGTTAAGATGAGGGTTTGAGATAGAGGTACTTGAGTTTGTTAACCCACGCTTCTGCTCCTTTGGTTGAGCATATGAGATCAACCTGTGTATTCATGAAAAATCAATCTAATTGTTACGGTTTAATACCATTTTGTTAGGGATTTGTCTATCTAAAAACATAATTTTTATATTGTAATCCTAAAGAGATCGAAAAAAAAAAAAGGCCTCCTATCTAGGTTTCATGGTGAGTTTCCATGAAGGATCAAGTAATTAACAATATAAGATAAATTTTACAGATATTTTCTGGCCTTTTCGAGTATTTTTGGACAGATTTGAATCCCAAATATCAGCTTTGTTTTTCTTTTTTTTAACTGAAGAGAGTTTTGCTCAAGTTGCAAAGCCAAATGCTTACACACACACACACACACACATTATACATATAATTCGTTTTATATTTAGCCGAAAAGTATTAAAAAAAAATGATTCTAGCTCTGTGCATCTTTCATGTGGGAGGGAACAGCATGGGAATATTGTTAAAGGCAAAAAAAAAAAAAAAAGTTTGTCCAGATATATCTGGTGATTTGGTACA